CGACGATCTCTTCTTCTCATAAGAAAATAATCAATTTGTGTTTTATTAGATCCACTCTTATAAGTAATAAGATGTTCATCCCTTTTCTTGAATAAAGTATTAGTAATAACAAAATCAAACGCTAAAGCAAAATCTAAAATAACTTTACCTTCTTCATTAGTTACTCCAAAACCGTAGCCACCATGAATATTTCTGAAATCTTCTACCACTCTGCCGACATGCTCATTTAAATCTCCTCCAATAAAAATTCTTTCTTCAAGAGGTATCATTTGTATTAAGTCTTCTAAGTCATTCCAAAATTTATCTTTAGACTCTGTATCTAAACCTACTTGAGGAGCATAACCACTTATAATATTAAAAATCTTAGTATCAATGATAATCTTAAGGGCTATAATTCTATCACCAACTCTATTAATTTTTACAACATTATCTTTCAAACTCTTATCTATAATTACACCTACACCATTTCTAGTGCGACTCTTACCAGAATACCAAAGTTTAAAACCTAAATTATCAATCTCCTTAGCCTTTTCTCCCACCCACTTAGTTTCTTGAATACATAAGATATTAATTTTCCTATGAATCATAATATCAACTAATTCCATTAATTTACCATTGAGAGTGCTTATATTCCAAGATCCTATCCTAATATTAGTTTCATTAGTTTCATGGACTAACTTCTTTACCCGCATTCGCCCGTAATGTGGGAACCCTTGCTTATTTAACACTACACCCGGGCGCCGGTGTAGCGGCCCTTGCACACTTTTCACTGTATTCAGGCTATACAGCGCGTCGCTTCTAGGGGACGCCCTAGCACTTACACAATGATCAAAAGGATTCATGTCATGATTTTTTCGACAAGTTTTACGCTGGCTGTCGACTACCTAACGCAACCCTCCACTTTTCTCATCCGGGCTTGGGACCGGCAACGACAGTGTTAATATAAAATCAAATTTAACCAAAATTAAAATCAACGGAAAAAAAAAATCCAATTTAAACATAAATTCAAAATTAAAATCTATAAATAAACCAACTCAAAAGATTATATTATATATGATAAATATGAAGTATAAATCTGAATTTAATTCAAAATGTTAAAAAATCAAGTTCAATTTAAAATAATATCAAATTTCACGATAAATCATGAAATTAAATTACATTTAAATCCAAAGTCAATTTAAATCATAACCATATTAAAATTTTAATCCTAAGTCAAACTCAAACTTAGCTTAATTTGAATTCACACCAAAATTCACACTACATTCAAATAACAAATAAATCTAAAATTTAACTCATATCAAAATTAAAATTCAAATTAAGTTTAAATTTAACCCAAATCAAATTTAATAAAAATAATTTTGAACTCATTTTTAATTTAAACCCAAAAGTACAATTAATTAAATAATTTTCAAATCACACAAACCCATATTTCAAAATACACTCAAATTTAATCCCAAACCCAACAACAAACACATTTTAATTCATATACCTAATGCACATCCAAACCAAACCAAGCTTGAAACTCAATAAATCCAATCATAAAATTCATTCAAATTTGAATTTAAAATCAGTAAACAAATCTATGCAATTCAACTCGTAAGTTCTACTTAAAACAAAATTCGAAATCCTACAAGAAAGCAACACTTAAGGTGTGCTTGGGGTGACTGCTGCTTTTTTAGGATTTAGTTGCGAAACTGCTTTTTAAGAAAGCTGTTGCGATGCTAGTTCCTGGGAAAGCAACATCACAACTACTGTCAAAAAGCTACTGTTGGAATGATAATGAAAGGCGTTTGGATAATTTGCTATGCTACAGTTATTTTTATGAAAAAAAAACAATTATATCTTTATATATGAAAATTAGCTGAATGATTGAAGTTTTCAATATACTTATAGTAAAATAACAAAAACAATTCAAACAATACCAAAAATATATTATAAGTTCAAATTTCTCCAATATATCAATTATAAGTCATCATTTTATGTATTGTTTTACAATAATAAAAATCATAGAAATAACCATTAATGTCAAGTCTTCAGATAGTTGTCTATTCATAATATATCTCTTGATTTGTTTGCTATTTGGATTGAACTCTTCTAGAACATCTGAAATGGTAAACATCA